GTCCCTGCTGGAGTAAACTCTAGAGGTGGGTGCTCAGGGACACTTCTGGCCTGGCAAAAGTGGAATCAAGGACAGTTGTAGTCATCTAAGAAGACTTTCTCCATTATTCTTCCATTTCAGTCTTTGTTTCTTCTTCTTAATCCTCACCCAAGGATATTTTTTGCATTTATCTTGAGATAGAATGGGAGGAAAAGAGAGAGAAAAGAAACATCGATGTGAGAAAGACACATCAACTGGTTGCCACTGGGGGACAAACTGCAACCGAGGTACTTGCCCTTAGTGGGAAGTTGCCCTAGGCGGAACCGAACCCGGGTCTCTCTGGTCCGAAGGCTGATGCTCTAACTGCTGAGCCAAACTGGCCAGGGCCACTTCAGTCTTTTAAGGCCAGAAGTCAACAGAGCACAGCCCAAGCTTAACCCATTCCAAACAGATGAGACCCCTTGCTGTTTTGCAAGCTTGTCAAATGAGCATTCCACAACTTCCCCCAAGGCCTCACCAGTATTGAATGACTCTCACTCATCAGGAAATGAAGGCTTCCTCTCCCACCCCTCCCTTTTTAACTCTTAATTTCATTCTCTAATTCCATGATTAAATCTTAAATTTCTGATTAGTAAGCCCCTGTTGAACTTAAATAGGGGAAACAGATACCTGGAAACAAAACAAGAACTGTTTTAATGAAAATGAGTAGTGGAATGAAATATTGCTATGGAACACACTCCTTCCCATGCTACTCTGCTGAAGAAGGGTCGGGGTCATCTGGAGACTGTGAGTGTGGGGGTGGGGTGGGAGGGGAGAGTGGGGTCTGGAGAGGTGGCAAAGCTAACTCACCAAGTTTGGGTGAATACTAGCAGCAAATTCATTCAGTGGGACCTTTAACATTTCCATTCTCAACTTTAAATAATAAGGTGATTTTACTGATCTCAGCAGGAAAACCTATTAGGAATGTGGGGATGAAAACCCTTATGAGCTTTTCGGTGGCAATGCCTACAGACACACATGTGTAATCAAGACACAATAATGGCTGGCTACTGTGACCAGAGCCTCCGAGAGTCCCTGTGATGTGGCTAAGGAAACCCATGGTGAACTCACCTCTTTGAGGATGGGTGTGGGTCAAAAGCGCTGTAGAGTGAAACTTCCTGCCCCAGGCAAGCCCATAGACTAAGCAAACTGAGAACAACAGAAAGCCTTACCTGTATAGCAGGTCACTCACTCTGGCATATAAATATCTTTCATAGTAAAAGCATCATCAGATTCCAAAATGATGAATTAACAAATTGTGCTGGTCTGCTCGGGTGCTATGTTTCTTTAATTAGAAAGTATTTTGTCCTTTGGTAGTCAGGGCTATCCAAAGGGTGTGGTGATGTCCAACTGTCTGGAGTTATTAATTTATGCTCATTTTCTGCTACAAAGATGGCTGTCTTGGGCTGACTCTCATGACACAGGTGACTGCCTGCCAACAACAGGCTATCCACTTTAATCCTCATTCTACTTGCCCTGCCTGAACAGTTTTGTTTATTCTTTCTATTTCAACTATTAACCACTGCTATTTCCTTGATTGTAAGATGCACCATTCATTTAATAACTCTTAAGGGTGGGAAGGGGAGGGGAGAATCCCTATCATATTAAATATACAACATCTATTGTCAGCTCATCCCTACACCTCACAGCTAAAGACCTACTGATCCTTCAGGACTTATTTCAATCATTCCCTCTGAGAAGCTCTTTTGTCAACCTTTCCCAGGACTGACCACTCTCTTGTATCACAACTGCATCTTATACATGCTGTCACACCTAGTATAGTCATGATACATAGACTGTAAGCACCTCCAGGGCAGAAAGTGTCTTATTTGTCGCCGTATTCACAGGGTCTAGTCCAGTGCCTGGCATTATTCACTCTATAAATATTGACTGAAACCAACCATGTGCCAGGCATACTTTCAGACTCGCACTTGTTTGTTAAACAAAAGAATTTTTAGCAAGTATTAACTGCAGTGACATGGAAGATACAAAATCTCTTTGGCCCTTCCATTTTAGGCAGAGATGGGAGCAGTATGTATGTTGTGCTGCTTAGCCGGCTCAGGCTGCTATAACAAATACCCAAGACTGGGTGGCTTAGGCAACAAATATTTAGTTCTCACAGTTCTGGAGGTTGGGAAGTGGAAGATCAAGGTGCCCGCAGATTCTGTTCCTGGTGAGGGCCTTTTTCCTTGCTGTGTCCTTACATCGCAAGGAAGAGATCATCTCTCTCATGTCTCTCTTTTTTTTTTTTAAATCCTTACCTGAGGATATTTTTGTATTTATCTTCAGATAGAGCAGGAGAGAGAGAGGGGGTAAGAGAGAGAGTGAGAAAGATCAATATGAGAGAGACAGATTGACTGGCTGCCACCCACACGACCCCAACCGCGGTGGGAACAAAACCTGGGATTCCCTGGTACGGAGGCTGACGCTCTGGCCACTGAACCAAACCGGCCAGGGCTCATGTTTCTTCTTATCAGGGCAGTAATCCCATTCCTGGAGGCTCTATCCTCAGGACCTAATTATCCCCCACCCCACCCCTGAGGCAGGATAGCAAGAAGCTAGGAAAATTCCTTGGCAAATGGAATGGGGAAACAGACAGATAGCTGAACAAACTGGCCGAGAAATTTACAGCCACATACAGAAGGTCACAGAAAGCACCGAGGGGCCTAGCAATGAGCAAAACTGGCACTGACCTTGCCCCTGGGGTGCCTTTATTCCACTGCCACATCGCTAGTCATGCAGTTTAAACCTTTGACCTTTCATATCACTGGTCATGTGATTTAGACCCCCTGACCTTTCCTTGCTAAAGAACATCTAGGTCTCAGTTATATTTCAGTCCCAGGCCCAGAAAAGCAGCAAAGCCAGTCAGCAATGCCAGGATCAGCTGCAATGACTAATCAGTAGAGACAAAAACCCTGAAAGGACACACCTGGAAAAGCTGATGAATATTCTATTGAGATCCTCCCCTAAACTCCCAGCCTTTAAAACACTCAAAATGAAGGACCCACTGAGCGCTCCCCATTCCGGGGAGCATGCCCACACCTTCCCTCCCCCCTACAGGCATGCATCTTCTAACCTCTAAGGGACCCCAGGAGACTTGCAACCAGGGGAGCAATTAATTGACAGCAGCAGCTTGTCCCAGGCTAAACCCCTAAGTCTGTCCCCAAGGCCCCCATTTCTCTGACTCTCCAGTGAGCTGACAGTACCCTGCCTTAGCTCACTTCTTTCCCACAGTTTCTAGAGAGCCAAAGCAGCCCCGCCTAGTCTCTCTCCTGTTGCTTCTTCTATTCTAAGCCCTTCTTTGTTTCATTGTCCCCTGCTTTCATAAGTGTACTCTCAAAATTTCCTGAACTCACGCTGTGACATCTTTCCTGCATGAAGTCAAGAACCCACACATTACAAGCCCACTGAGGCAGACCTGCTCAGGGCCCTGTCCCCTTTCTGGTAACATTCCCAGAGAAATCTAGAGGATTCTGTGCTGAGAAGAAAAGAATGGCAGAGTGAGTGAACAGTATGAAGAAAGGCTTGGTGGCAAGAATGAATTAAAACAATTTTAAAAATTATGTTAGAACATAGATAACATAGAACTTATCCTTTTAACAATTTTTAAATGTACAATCCAGTGGCATTAAGTACATTCACACTGTTGTGCCATTGTTGAATTTTTAAGGGTTCACACCTGGCTGATCACACATTTTTTAATGGAAATAATGATGCATCAAAGTAAAAGCAGTGTTTCCCTCCCCACCTTTGGCAGTTTCCTCCACTAACATATGTGATTTGTTTTGCATATATTGAGAAGCTATAGTGTTGGGGGGCAGGGGACAACAGGGCTGCTCCTTGTATGTTTAAATCATCCTTGTGAAGTTTTAAACAATGGATACCCCCCCAATACCGGGCCTTTTGTTTTCAAATCAAAAACACAAAACCGTATGGGGGGGGGGGGGGGCGGGAGTCTTTATTGGCAACCAGTCGTGTCTACTTAAAGCACTAAATGCAGTCTCGTGAGTACATTCCCTAGGAAGCACTGTAGCTATTAATACACTTGGGTGTTTTCTTTTTTTTGTTTTTGTTTTTTAATGGGTATGCTTGTGGTAAGTGTTCTAATCAGTGCCACAGGCACCCTGGAGAGGGAAGAGGGTGGGCTAGGGAAGGCGAGGCCCACCCAGCCTCAGGGCAGTGAGTAGAACCTGTAAGATCCGGATTCTGTCTTCGCCACTTCACTTACAATCCTTGGGCAAGTCACCTGAGCATTTAAGGCCTTGGTACCATAGAGAGGTTGGAATCCATGGCCTTTAAAGTCCTTCCATCTCTATCCTATCTGAATAATTTTGGGCAAGGGCCTATCTGCTAACTGGTGGGGTACAAGTAGTTGGGACCAGCGAGTGAACGTGTGTGCAGTTAGCTGAAGGAACAGTAAACAAGCGTGGGTGACTCCACAGTCAGTGGTGGAACGCAGGGTGTCCCGGGAAAGGAGCTTAAGTGATGGGATTTCCAGACAAGACTTTCCACGGCCAACTTTTAAAGGTCGGAGGAAAGTTTGTCGTGGGGCGGGGGCCCTAGAGGAAAGCTGGGTGGGCTCCGCCGCCTCCTCCCCTTTAAGCGGGCGGCCCCGGCGCTCCCTCCGTTACCTGGAGCGGGGAGGGGCTTGGGAAAGTTTGTGTTTGTTGCTGGCAAGGCGCCCGATGGGAGGCGCGGGCGGGCGGGCGCTGCGGTTCTTCTCTTTTGCTTTCGGGAAGCGGCCGGGGCAGCACGCTCAGCGCAGCGGGACGTCTCTGGCGCCCGGCTCCGGGTGCCCGGCGGGCCGGAGGAGGGCGGGAAGAAGGTAGGCGGGGGGCGGGAGCGAGGGGCGCACGTACGCCCAGCGCTGGGATTGCTCGGCTGGCGAGGAGAGCGGAGCAGGCGCGCGGCCCAGGCGGAGGAGCGCTGACTCTGGAGCAGCCGGAGCTGGAGGAGGAGGAGGAGGAGAGGCGGCGGGGAAGGAGGAGGAGGCGGAGAGTCGCTCCCGCCGGGCGAGCATGGGGCGCCTGGCGCCCAGGCCGCTGCTGCTGGCGCTCCTGTCGCTGGGTGAGTGCACGCGGGGCTCGGCGGGGCGAGGGGGGACCTGCAGGCCCATGGGGTGGGGTGGGGGGGCTTGATGGGGCGCGGCTGCGGCGCGCGCGGCCTGGGGCGCCAAAGGTGCCGGGGGCCGCTCCCAGGATACCCGGCCGGGATATGCAGGCGGCGCCGCCGGGCGGGGAACGGCCGCGGGGCCACCCGGAGCCAGGCGCGAATCCAACCCGGCCGCACGCGGGATGTCAGTCCTTGCTCCGCTAGGCCGAGCCTCGCCCCCTACATGAACAGGGGGAGTGGCCCGTGACCGGCTGCCCTCAGCCCTCCCTACCTGTTGTCAGCCCGGCTCACCTTGAACTCCCGGCCCGGAAGGTGCCTGTGGTCCCTGGCCACTGTCCTCAGCTTGGGAGCACAAATATGCATCTTTGATCTGCCCAGCCATCGCGGAGACCGGCTCACTTGCTCCTCACACAGACAAACCCAGGTTGAGTTGTCTTTCTAGGGAAGCGGGAGAATTCACCAACTTCCTTGTACAAAGGTCACGGGTTGGCCCAGAGCGCTAAATAAAAATCGGTGTTCGAGTCCTTCTGTCATGTTCACTGTGGATAGAGCTTCTGCCTTGGGCTTTTCCTTTACTTCTTCTTGAAGCTGCCTACCTCCATATTTACACACAAAGACCTAGGAGCCTTGGCTTCGCCAACTTTTCCTACCTGTTACTTTTCCTCCCTTGACTGTCTCCTGCCTTCTACCCTCCCCAAACCTCTGTGTCTCTTGATAATTTGGCCCACCACCCTCCCTCAACCCAAGGAATTTTTGGTGTTTTTTTTCCCTCTCTCCGTTTTCCTTTTATTCTATACACACAGACACCATCTTCACATACATATGGCTATTATAAATGGTTGTATTACCATAATTATGTCGTTATCAACCATAGAAATATATCTATTAAGTACCCATCATGGTACCCGTACCCATAGCTGACCCTTTTTTTAAAAAAATTTTATTTTATTTTTTGCATTTATCTTCAGATAGAGCGGGTAGGAGAGAGGAAGGGAGAGAGAAACATCGATGTGAGAGAGACACACAGTGGTTGCCACCCACATGACCCCAACGGGGCTGGGGACATACTGCAACCTGAGATACGTGCCCTTAACGGGAACAAACCCGGGACTCTGGTCCGCAGGCCGATGTTCAAACCTCTGAGCCAAACCAGCCAGGACCATAGCTGACCCTTAAATGCTATGATAATCTAGCATCCTTTAGGTCTGTGTCAACCAGAACAGAATGAATCCTGTGACCTGACCACAAGTTTCCTTCCAAGCTCCTTGAGAAGGCAGATCAGAATCTTTTTTGTGGTGTCTGTCTCAGCCAGGCCCCAGCTGCACACAGGGTAAAAGACACTAGTCTGCACTTACGGTCAGAGGGTCCCAGTGGAAGCCTTCTATGGCCACTCCAGTCCTGCTGGCACCAGGGCTCACACAGCCCCACCCCCCATGACTCCTGCTGCTGGTGGGCCAGCCTTTCTAGCTGTTACTGTGTTTTCTTCCTTCACCTTGGAGGGGTCTTCTGGAACTCACTCCCCAAGAGAGCTTATCCAGCCACATTGCTTTAGCTGCAACCATGTTCAGAAAGCCTCCAGATTGTTCACTTAGTTCTGTAGCATTTCTTCTATGGTCTGGGATCCTAGTGTTTTTATTCTTTTTCTTTCACTCTGACCTATAGAAGATCTACATGTGTTGCACACTGCTGTTGCACACTGTAGGTGGCCAGTGGTTGCACACATTGTGCACTGTACAACTCTGGGTGTTGCTATTCACTTTATAGTCTTATTTGAGAATGACTCCCCCTAGAGTTGTGCAGGTCACAACCTGTGTAGCAGTTAAGGTGTTGGGGTCTGATAGAAGTTTGAAAAAATGCCCTTGAGTAACTGATAAGGAAGAAAAAGGGAGAGGAGGGGGGCCAAAGAGAGGCTGGCAAAAGAAAAAATAGAAGTGGGGAAAGCACAGCTTGGAGAAGTCTTGGTTATATACCAATGTATCCTGACATGACTGGGCATCTCATGTTACTACACACATGAGATGTGGTGTCACCAGCCATGACCTCTTCTAACAGTTACCTGAACTTGAACCTGGTAACTCTGCTCCCACAGAATCTCACTTGATGTGGCTGCAGTCTGACCTCTGGGATGCCCTCCCTGTTGTACCACTCCAGCAAGGTCCTGATTCCTGAAACTTAATATGTTGATAAGCAAGATCATCTTTCCTCTTCTATTGCAATCTGGGCATAATCTTGCTGTCACTTTCTTTGACCTCCACGTTCACACTGTCCCTCAGTTCTGTGGCTTTTCCCACAGCACAGACTCCAGCTCTTTCGGTCCTTCCTGTTTCTATAGCTACTCTTCTAGCCCAGGTTCTGATACTTCTCCACGCATTTAGCTTGGTTGTCTTTACATCCCATAGCTTCCCTTCTAAGTTTGTTATTTTCACAAAGGATGAGTTTTGGGGGGGGCCTATCCTTTGCATGTTGGTTCTTTATTATTTTCTTACAAGGATATGCTTCCCCTTGTGTTCTCTTCCCTCTAGTCTTCTCTTTGTTTTAGAAATTTCACTCTAGCCCTGGCCGGTTTTGCTCAGCAGTTAGTGTGTTGGCCTGCGGTCCAGAGAGACCCAGGTTCGGTTCCCGCTAAGGGCACGTACCTCAGTTGCAGTTTGTCCCTGGCCCTGGTTGGTCGTGCGGATGGCAGCCACTCGGTGTGTCCCTTTCACATCGATGTTTCTCCCTCCCTCCCTCCCTCCCACTCTATCTGAACAAAAAAATGGAAAAAATGTCCTTGGGTGAGGATAAAAAGTAAAAAAAAAAAAGAAGAAGAATTTTTATTCTAGTAACCTGTTTGCTATCCTTTATATAGAATATTTGTGAGCCTTCTGGCTTTGTCATTTCCCTTGGCCTTGGAATGTCCCTCCTACTTCTCTACCCTTGCCTGTGTTTTTCCTTTTCTCCCTAAAACTCACTTCCTCCATGAAGCTTCCCTGAGTTACCATCACACCAGAATCTACTCAGTTTTATAGAGCAAGTTTTTACTTCTAGTGCCTATGTCTGATCTATCTTTTTATTCATTCATTGCAGCATTTCTCAAATGTCCATTAGAGTCCATAAGAGTGTCCAGAAAAATGCCTCACAGAGTAGTCAGTGGGGGCAGGTGGACAGATAATAAAACAGCTAGCTACAAGAGAGAACGAAATACCTACATGGAAACCAAGTGTCGGTAGGAAGCAAGGAGGAGGATGGTTCCTTTGACTTGGGATTGGGTTGATTTTGCTAAAGAGGTGGTATTTGAGCTGAGCCTTGAGAACAATAAGAATTTTGAAAGAAAGGATAGCCGAGCATTCCAGGCTCTGGGAAAAGGTACCAAATGTGGATGACTGAAGGTACATGGCTCTTTCAGAAATGGTTTGGAAGGTCCATGTAACTGGAGGTAGGAGGAGGAGATATAATGGGAGAGCAAGCTGGAAGGGTAGGGTTGGGGTGGATTCGAAAGGCTTCTTGTGCTGTGCTGAGAAGTCTGGACCATGAGGGGTGGGTTTGTGGGCCTTGTGGGTGCTGCCGGGCAGTCTGTGCTCCAATCATCACACTTGTTTAGCTCACTATATGAAATTGTTCCTGGCCGAAATCCCCACTCTGATTATATCCCCTGGAGGCAGGGACTGCTGGTCTTGTTCACTGTAGTATCACTATTACTAATAAAGCTCCTGGCACATAATAGGTATTTGATAAATGTTGGCTATGAATATATGTATGTATCCTTTTGTCTGTGGGTAATGGGTAGCCATTGAAAGTTCAAACAACATGGCAATCTGTTTGAAGAGGGTAGGTCCTCTCTAGGATGCAACATGAATTTAGAGAGGGGAAGGTATGGAGAGTGTGGAGAGGGATTATCCTCACCCAAGGATATTTTTACACTTATCTTCAGATAGAGTATGATGGAGAGAGAGAAAGAGGGAGAGAGAAACATCAATGTGAGAAAGATACATCAACTGATTGCCTCCCACATGACCCTGACCAGGGCTGGGGACTGAACCTCAACTGATGTTTGTGCCCTTGACCAGAATCAAACCTGTGACTGTTTGGTCCACGGGCTGATGCTGTAACTGCTGAGCCAAACCTACCAGGGTGAGGTTTTTTAATTTTTTTTAATTTTTATCCTCACCCAAGGATATTTTTCCATTTTTTGTTCAGATAGAGTGGGAGGAAGAGAGAGAGAGAGAAAGAAACGTGAAAAGGACACATCTAGTGGCTGCCTCCCACATGCACGACCTAACGAGGGCCGGGGCCAACTGCAACTGAAGTACGTGCCCTTAGTGGGAACCGAACCCGGGTCTCTCTGGACCACAGGCCGACGCTCTAACCACTGAGCCAAACCGGCCAGGGCAGGGTGAGATATTTTTAATTTGTGTCTTTTAAAAAAATATTTGTTGTAAGTCCACTGAAGTAGTTTTTTTATTTTTTATTTTTTTTGTCAACCCTTACCTGAGGATATTTTTTCCATTGATTTTTAGAGAGAGTGGAAGGGAGTAGGGGGGAGAAAGAGAGAGAGAGAGAGAGAAAGAAAGGGAGATATTGATGAGAGAGAGAGACACATCAATTGGTTGCCTCCCATATGCACCCCAACTCGGGCCAGGGAAGGAACCTGCAACCAGGTACCTGTGCCCTTTGGCCAGGAATCGAACCTGCAACCCTTTGGTGCACAGACCAATGCTGTAACCACTGAACCACACTGGCCAGGGCTGAAATAGCTTTTCCCCCCCAAGAGAATATATTAAATATAGAAGATTTTATTTTATTTTTTCAATTTTTATTAATTTATTTTTGTTACAAATGTTTCTCCTCCCCCCCCCCCCCCAGATACTCTTCTCCCTATCCTGCCCCTCCAGTCCCCCAGCATTGTTGTCTATCTCCATTGGTTACGCATACATGCATATACATTCTTTGGTTTATCTCATCCATCCCCCTCGTCC